GTTTTAGCCTGCGGGCTAATGTAGAGGAGCCCTTGCAGGGTTCCTCCCCCCCCCCCAAACTGTGCAGTGAGATGAGAGCACTTTGCTCTCTCCTATCACCTTGCTTCATGCACTGCAACACAACCAATCAGATCCATGCGCTGCTTCTCCCTCCCCAAGTGTGAGCTCTGCTGTACAGGGAATTGCAGCAGGCTGATACCAAGAGCTTACACTGCTTGTATTACAAAAAATGCATTTAATGATGTATTGATGAACGTAGAGCTGCGATAATCGAAGTCTTTGATGTCTGCCTGGAGTTCAACGTTAATATCATAGAGGACAGGAAATTACTGACTTGTATTTTGTACTTTAACTACCTCCGGGCTGGCCGGGAGCTCTCTAGGTCTGAGCGGGCGTCTTTAGACGTCCACGCAGACACGCCCCCTCGTGAAAGGGTCCCCGCAACCCCCCCCGCCGTTGTCCCGCTGGTCCTGGGCTCCGCTGTGCCTGGTGCGAGCCCGGGACCAGCATACTGCCTCTGTCACAGGGGCTCAGAGGGAGGTCGGTACACGAGCTCCCTCCTGTCCACTCTCTGCTGCAAGAATGCGGAAGTGTTGTATTTGACATCTTTGGGCCAATGGAACTTCGGGTTGGCGAAGGCGGGGAGATTTCTAAACATGTAAAAAATAATTATTTTTTAAAAAAAGTCCCCACCCATACATACACGCATGCAAACATGCGTTGGGGGCGCATACCTGCGATAACGATTGCGCACATTACGCCGCACATATATCGCCGCAAACGTCACAGTGAGAGCAATCATTCTAGGGCCATCAATCACTGATAACACTAAGGCCCCGTTCACATTGAGCGGTTTGCAAATCGCGCGTTTGTTGCGCAATTTGCATTTTGCGCGATATCGCGCAAATGCTTGCATTGATCAAGCTTGAAATCGAAATCGTGGAAAAATCTGCTCCAAAAAGGGTCCTGCTGTAGCGACACACGACCCGCGACAGCAGGACTCTTTGCCCCATTGCCAAGCATTGGAGCGTGATATCGCGCGGTAAATAGCCGCGATATCGCAGGAATTACTGCGCGATAAAACGCTCAATGTGAACGGGGCCTTAACTGATGAGCGGCAAACGCTTTTAAAGCGTTGCCTATGGCCAATTTTGGGTATGGTAGTTTTCTGCGATTTCGCGGGTGTGCGCAATTTTAAAGCTTTACATTTTTGGTGTCTATTTACCTGACGTGACCCCGACTTTTATATTTTACCAAAAAACTGAGTAATAATAAATGTTTCCTAACATAATGTAAAAAAATAACTTTTTGTTTCAAAATGTTCAGTAATTTTTCCTGATTATAGTAAAAAATAAAACCCGCAGTGGTGATTAAATACCACCAAAATAAAGCTCTATCTGTCCCCAAAAAATGGTATAAAATTCATTTCAGTACAGCGTTGCATGACGGAATAAACGTCAGTCAAAGTATCGCAGCGCTGAATAATGAAAAATGGCCTGGCCAGGAAGGGGGTCTCAACACCTGGTCTTCAAGTGGTTAAAGAGACCCTGTCACCAGTTTAAACAATTGCAGGTAAAAGCACAGGCATATGAAGCATTTTACATGCTCACTCCATGTCCTAGCCCTCTCCACTTCTGGGAGTGTCTGTTTGTGCTGGCCCAGCTCCTCTGCCTTTCCCTTCATCTCCCTACATATCCTTTCATGTAGCTGGAGGGGGGAAGGGGAATACTATAGCAGCATTCTCCAACCTTTTTTCAGTCATGGGATAGCAGGAGGCCCACCTGAGGAAGCCAGAAGGCACCCTGGTTGAGAAAGGCTGTACTACAGAGTGGCATATATAATCATATGGGAAATTACTTGGTCTGTTGACAGGGTCTCTTAAAAAGTTTTTTACAACCTGGGAATAGGGGTAGGATGATGGGATGCAGTCATTGTCTGGCCAACAATTTTCCACCCGGCAACAACATTGAAATGAAATTGAAGGAGCTGGGTGGAAAATTGCCAAAGTGAGTGCGTGAAATCGGATGGGTGTCGCGGCTGTCAGAATACAATAGCCGGCAGCAGAGATTCCTCCATCATTGCTGTTTGGTGTGGATGGGATAATCGGTCAGTTTCTCTTGTTCTGCTTGTGCCGGGTGGTGTCATTAGGGCCACTCACGGCAGGAATTTCCCCTGATTCAGCACGGTTTGGACAAAATTCGAGCCAAGCTCCACTATGAGATGTCATCAGACGAAGCTGAATTGTGAATTGAACCTACAGAGTTTTATTTACGCTTCTTATATTTAATGCTTACAGATGACGATCCGTGCGCTGCGTTTCCTGTGGTTAGTGTGGAGGAGGCCTGATGTAAGATCACGCTGCAGATCAGCTGGAGGAAGTTCTCCGCATCCGTTAGATGTGACCATTAACTAGGTCACATGATGCTGGAGGCTTCCTTCACTGACTCGGCTTCTTACTTGTGAGGGGGTGAAGAGAGCACTTGGCTAGAGTCCCCAATGATCACCAAACTCCACGCTGAGGGCTGGTTCATGCCATCTCCAGTGTGTTCCAGCGGGGTGAGCTGCTGGAACGCACTGTATCGCATACTGTGAAGGCTCCCTGTGTTCTGTGGGGGTGCAGCCAAGTCAATACCACCGCAGCCACGCCCCCTCCCGCAGTGCAATTGCCCACACCAGAACACATGGCACAACAATGCCTGCGTTCCGGTCCAGTGCGATTGCAAAAAATAGTGCTTGTATTATCTTTTTGCGATCGCACCGGAACGCAGGCATTGTTGGGCCACGTGTTCTGGCGCTGGTGATCACACTAAAGACAGTAGGGGCGTGGCTGTGGTGCCATTGACTTGAATGCACCGCCACGTCCCCTCATGCCCCAGAACGCAGGGAAGATTTTCTAATGCAATCCAATGCGTTCCAGCAGCTAACTGTACTGGAAGAGGTGTGAACCGGCCCTTTAATTGGGCCTGAAAGTATGAATCGTGTTTTGAGTGTATCTAAAGCTGGCTGTACAGCAGTAGAATGTAATTTTAAAAAATGTGTGCGTTTGATTTTCCAATAGTTAGCAGGGTGAGCCTAGCAGGGTGATGACAACAATAGGAGGAGCAGGATGGAATATTTTTTGCGACGAATGAAATTGTAACTGTGGTTTTCTTTTACAAATGTTTGAGTTTCAGTACAATAGAAAAAGTTTTGGCAGAAAGGTCAATAAGCTGACACAGCAACGCGCTTATAACTAACTAGGACATAGAGACAATGTAAAGTAGGAACAAGGTGAGTCACAAAAATACTGCTTGTTACAATTGTGAAGACTGGTAGAAGAACAGAAAACCTTAAAGCCAGGTCTCGGGGGACACACACAGTAGAATTAAAGCTTAATTTTTTGCATATGTCTACTGCTAGGTACATGCATATGCCTATTGCATATTGTATATGCAATAGGCATATGCAAAGACATGAAAAAAATAGTTACCAAATAGATATAAACTTATCTGTGGCTCGTTGCTGCCAGACCCAGCTGCTCGCATCCACGCTCCACACGCCGCACCTCCTCCCCGCCTCACGCTCAACGCCCGGCCTCATCCAAGATCGGCACAGGGACGCGGGGAGAAGAAGTAAGGAGGAGTAGGTGTGGGGGGGATGACAGCCACCGATAGACAGGCCTGATCTCAGAAACAAGTTGCTGGAAGACTGCTCAGGTAAGCCTGCACTCCCCCTCCCCCCCACATGGTGCAATATAATGTATTGCTGGGATTTGTATTCCTCTATAGCTGATGGTACATTGTGCTGTATATTAAACAATCAGCTATAGAGGAATACAAATCCCAGCAATACATTTTTTCACCAATAGGTTGGACTTGATGGACATATGTCTTTATTCAACCTCAAATACTATATGTATAATTTATTGCTGGGATTGGTTGTATTCCTATATAGCTGGTGGTATTCTGCAGTGCGCTGTATAGAGGACTACAAATCCCAGCAATAATACATTATACAGCGCAATGCAGAATACCGCCAGCTATAGAGGACTACAAAACCCAGCAAAAGTACATTATACAGCGCAATGCAGAATACCGCCAGCTATAATGTACTATTGCTGGGATTTGTTGTACTCCTCTATAGCTGGCGGTATTCTGCATTGCGCTGTATAATGTACTATTGCTGGGTTTTGTAGTCCTCTATAGCCGGTGCCATCCTGCATTGATTGCTGTATAATTTTACACTTTCCATTTCACTATATTGCACACCACTTTTTTTTTTTTCTTTTTTACTTCCACCGCTCCAAGCTTGCTTCTGTGATGGACTACAACCTCAATACAAACTAGTAGTCCCATCACTGGAGCCATTTTTAAAATGTATTTGATTTTTTTAATCGATTAATCGAACTAAATAATTGGCTAACTAATCGATTTGGGAAAAAACCGTTCCCTCCAACTCTAGTAAGTCCTTAAAGCAGCTGTGCCAAGGGGGTGTAACTTTAATGTCACTTAGTGACACTAAACTCAGGAGTTGAGTCTTAAAAATCCATTCAAGTACCCGAACTATTAACAAAAATGTATCTTATGTGTATATCACTCAGCTGTAGATCCTCAAATCATCTCTGAATTGGTGCTGACACTGTCCTTCCTTCTGGAGGGTGGCTACTTTTGTTCCCCATGGTCCCTGTGTGTGTTGTATAGTAGCCACCGCTCCAAGCTCACTCTGTGATGGACTACAATCTCAAATACAAATTTGTAAACTAAGTGTGAGGACTATGGGGAACAAAAGCAGCCACCCTCTAGAAAGAAAGAGTGTGGGTATGAATTCAGAGATGATTTGAGGATCTACAGCTGAATGATACACAAATAAGATACATTTTTTTTTAATATTTAAGGAACTTGAATGCATTTTTGAATGCAACCTCACGAAATTGAAACACCAGTTTTGGTGCAGTCATTATTAAGTTGTTGGATATAAATGAATGTACTTCATTCACACGATGTGTTGTTGTTGTAGATTATCTGGACTAAGGATGGAGCTTTTCCCCCGTTTTATCTGGTGTTTGACCGTCCTGACAAGCCTTGAACAAGCTCATACTTGGAAGCCAACGAGTCCCCTCAGTCAGATGTTTGCTGGGGTGAAAGTTCCTCCCACCATTGGAGGGGATCCTGGGGAACCTCTCTTTCTTACCCCATACCTGGAAAGTGGGAAGATCGATGAAGGTGAGCAGGACGGATGTTTGAATGACCAGTGATAAAGATGTTTCATTTTACTAAGAGCTGCTTTTTAATTTCATGGAGCCTTTTCTTAATTGCAACTGCAATAATATATTATGTTTGTGTGACATCCATAGCACTCTGTTAGTAGTTTTTAGCCCCTAGATGTTCATAGATTCTGTATTTTTCATTATTACCTTTTTAATCTCTGACAAACCTGCTCTATTTCAGCACGCGAGCTGAGCCTTGTGGGAAACCTCCCAGGAGTGAATGTGAAAAGTTATGCCGGATACCTCACTGTGAACAAGACCTATGACAGCAACCTCTTCTTCTGGTTCTTCCCTGCTCAGGTAGGACCACAAACTGTATGGTCGCTTTAACATTCTATGTAAAACTTGCTGACAATAAGCAAGGTACAGTGAGGGGAATTTATCTTTCTTGGCTGTATAGGATATGAGGTGGTAGTTCTGCTTTAATAGCAGAATAGAATGTCCCTTACTATGGTGGTTTAAGCTTCTGTTCATGTCACAGCTATTCACTGCAAGTCTCTGAAGGGCTGTGGGTGGGCACTGGAGGTGACTTAACGTGACACTAAACTCAGGAGTTAAATCTCAAAAATCCATTCAAGCGCCATAACTATTATCATTTGTGTATCGCTTGGCTGTAGATCCTCAAATTATCTCTGAATTGGTGCTGACACTGTCCTTCCTTCTGGAGGGTGGCTACTTTTGTTCTCCATGGTCCCTGTGTGTTGTAAAGTAGCCACTGCTCCAAGCTCACTCCTGTAATGGACTACAATCTCATGTTTAGTTTACTAATTTGCATTGAAGTTATGGCCTATCACGGGAGCAAGCGAGCTTGGAGTGGTGGCTACTTTACAACACACACCGACGGGAACCAAAAATGCACACAGGTGAACCACGTTGGTGACCACATTGTGAAAGAAGGCAGTTACTTGGAAGTTTACATATTTCTGTTACAAGTCTGCTCTAATCCAAAGAAGATTTGTTCATATGCTTTACGCTATGATAGAGTTCCCTTCTTTAGCGCCGTTGTACATTACATACACTAGGTGGTTCTGTATAGCAGTAAAATTAGTCTACATTTGCTAACCCTGATGAATCGAAAGCAGACATGCGTTACCCTTTAGTTGTATATACTTGGGTGAAATTGACATATCGTATATTCAATGCATTGATCTCCAGGTATTCCTAGACTTTAGATGACAGCCAGAAATGTCCTTTGCAGCCTCTGACCGTTCCAAACCCTTGTCTGTTTGCTGTTGCTTCCCCCATGATAACTTAGGACATCAGCAGTTTGCTTCTCCCATCTTACCTTCAATAGCAAAAGATAAGTTGTTGTCCTCCCAACACATTTGGATCTGTCCTTTTAATGTGATGGGCAGAATTAAGGATGATAATTTTTTGGTGGGGCCAGGCCCAGAGTTTGCAGAAAGTTATGATTTGCATATAACTTCAGCTATGTTTAAAAGGTTTTAATGAAGTCATTCAAATCATAACATCTATGGTCAAAAACGCAACATAAAATCTGTATTTCTATTTTGAATTTCCATTAGTTCTATCCCACTCCTAATAACCCTATCGATCTAGAAGTGTGTCAACTTGCTTATTGAAGATGCCCGTTAGATGTACAGGTGAAACTCGAATAATTAGAATATCGTGCAAAGTTCATTTATTTCACTAATGCAACTTAAAAGGTGAAACTAATATATGAGATAGACTCATTACATGCAAAGCAAGATAGTTCAAGCCGTGATTTGTCATAATTGTGATGATTATGGCTTACAGCTCATGAAAACCCCAAGAACCCCAAATCCACAACCTCAAAAAAGTAGATTATTACATGCAATCAATAAAACAAGGATTGTACATAGAACAATATCGGACCTCTGAAAAGTACAAGCATGCATATGTACTCAGTGCTTGGTTTGGGCCCCTTTTGCAGCACTTACTGCAATTACTTTCGCATGATATTCTAATCGAGTTTTACTTGTATGGAGTCTTGAGAAATTGAGATTGCATCACATCAAGGAGCAGGGAAAGAGACACAAAGCACACTGGGAATCCAGGAAGTTGGTGAAAGTGATGGGCAGACAGAAGGCAGCACTCACTACATAAAAGGGGTTTTTAAAGTAAGCTCTGACTGTATTATCAGAAACACCTCTAGTGTGTATTCCTATTACAGTGCTGATGTTATAACAGGATAGTATATGCTGGGACTTTACAACTCTGCTGATGATTTTCACAGTCCGCTGTCACTAAAGATACCTCTGCCGATGGGTTTTTACATCTTATGCACTGTTCTTAATGTCCCAAGTTTACTTTAATCCATAAGGAAGACTTGGCAATCAACCTTTTGCTTTGCTCTTTATAGAAAGTCAGAGTTCTTGCTTGCTTTCCAGTACAGAAATATGGCAGCTCCCTGTAAATAAAAGATGAAGCTGTAATCCCGTTCTTACACTACGATCAGTGGAAGGCTTTTGGAGGCTGGCCAGCTGGACATCTCAGAACATTTACATGGCTGCAGGATTTTTAGATGTTTGAAATCTCATATTTCAGGCCTTTTACAAGTTCTGTTTCCTCTCTCACTCTTTTAGCAAACATTTCTCAAGTTATGTCAAAATAGTGAAACCTGAGTCGAATTTCTTTATACTGTATGAGACCTCTATACAAAGTCTCTTTTTTGGTTTTCATGCGGGTCTCTCTACCCAAACCCTAACCATGAGCTAATATATTTATCCTAAATGTATTTTCTGTCTATCTTCTAACATACAGGTTAACCCAGACACAGCTCCAGTGTTGCTTTGGCTGCAAGGAGGACCTGGAGGGACATCTATGTTTGGTCTTTTTGTGGAGCACGGACCTTATATTGTCACGAAGAACCTTACATGTAAGTAGATGTAAGCTAGTGCAGGTGTTGTACTGATGCCTGCTTCATGTAGTCTAGAGAGTACTTAGAGTACATCACTTGTCTGACCCTCTCCTCCACCCCTGTGTCCTTTTACGGAACCACAGTAATTTTGTTTTTTTCTGTGGACACTGTCATTTTAGGTGTAATAATGTTTGACCAGTGCAGTTATATCTTATATCATGATAGCAGGCCCGGCTGCCTACTTGCGCATGCATGTCACTTTCCCCAATTGTTCCTAAAGCCATACTCCAAGGGAACACAGCCATAGGAATGAATGGGGGCATGGCATGTAGAACATGGATGGGACTTTTTTTTTATAATCGAAAAGCTGGGTGGCACTGGGCAAGGCTGCACAATGAAGATCTGCAGTCAGGCTGAATATACTTGTTCTGCTGTATGAGTTACGTTAATGACAAGTTATGCTCTGCATGTATGCCGTTCTATATTGAATGGCCCCCAAATGCACCTACACTGCACCATAATGTACTACCTTGTGTTGGGTGCTGTGTTGCTAGAATAGTGCATGCATCTGTGTTTTCGTGCACTAGGTAGTGTAAACAAATGAACACAGTTGATGTAGCAATTGAAGCACCACATTAACTAAAATAGACCATATACAAGTTTATTCCGATAGGGTCAGAGGACATTCCAGTAGAGTAGCCAGTGCGTTTCGGGGTCCCAGCCAGCTGCTGAGAAGTCTGAAGTACTCCGATCAGCTCAATACACCTTTCAGGCTGCATGGATTGTATTCCACATACATAATTTCTCTCATTCTCTTGGAGGGTGTTTTAGACCCCTGAAACTCTCTACTTAAATGTCCCCTGACCCTGATTGAATAAAGTCTGGACTATTTTAATTGGTGTGGTGCTTCAATTCCTACATCTACTGTGTTCACTGTTGAGCCAAGGATACTGTGGAGATCCTTTGGATTGCGGAAGCTGCCTACCTGTCATCCAAATTACAAATATTCACATCACTTAACTACTGTTAAATGAGAAACGCCAAGAGAATACCTACATGGGTCCAGGACTTTCTTTCCTCACTTCCAAACAATCAAATAAATGGGCTACCCTAATGCAACACACATCAAAGTCTAGTATAATGCAGTTCATCCCACTGATTTAAATGGGCCCGTGGGGAGGAAGGAAACAGAAAAGGACAACTTCATTGAGAGTAAACTGGTGCTTTTACCAGTTCTCCAGTTTAAGACCCTGATCACATGGAGATTTTTTTTTTGAGTTCAGGACCTGATCCTGAACTCTTGTATGTTGGAGAAGGAAGGATCAAATGTACCATACATACGTCATCTTCATTGTTTGCTCCAAGGACATGGTGGGTCCCTGAACTGGAATGGCTCCTGTAAGGACAGACTGATGTCTCCCCATCCATGATCCTCTGGGAGACATGTCTGCCTTTGGCCAATCTTAATTTGGGGCTCCATGCTACAACACGAGGGGTGTCCACCTAAAGTCCACTATCATGGTGAGGAACTTCATTGTTAATAACATCATGGAAGATATTATTTACTACTGAAATAGTCAGCTGTGGTCCGTAACAAATAAAATTAGGTCTCTTAAAAAGGAAGGTACTCATAATGACATTTTGGAAGGCTATTCATGTAAGTGAAGGTGGGTAAAGCCTTATTGGCTCCTTAACAAAATAAACAACCTATTTAATAAAGAGTTCTTGTGTGGTAGCACAGCCATCAGTCAGAATTCACTCTGCTTAAGTCAGACTAAGCGCCTGTGTGCTGTGTGGGTTGGTGTCAACCTCTGGGTTTTTCATTTAAATTCAGCTCTGCTCAAACCTGTGCATTCTAATGCAAATCACAGTAAAAGGTGTGTTTTGGTCTGCTTTAACTGCAGTGCATCCCAAAAGGACTTGCTGCATCCAGAGTAATGCAGGTGAAAAAACAGCTTTAAAACTGTTGTCCACATTTTTTTAAAAATCCGATACTTTTTATTTTTAAATATTTTCCTCCAACAAACCCATAAAAAATTAAAAATACATAATTCAAGCAATACACAAATAATAAACATCCCAGCTAACATATAAACACAAAAACAAATACATCAACCACTATATATATAATTTCCAAATAAGAAAAAGCAGGATCGTTGATATCTAATCACCTAAACACATATATATCTTTAGAGCACAGCTAAAGTACTCCCAATTACAGCCTGGGCGGCTCTCATAAACTTCCCTCCTATGTCTAACTAACCATATTATAGAAGAATTCACACATTCCTTATACGGTATTGTATCCATCTAGACCAGTGGTTCTCAACGTGTATAACCTCAGGACCCACATTTGTCCTTGGTCATTAAGTCGTGGCCCAAGTCGCACCACACTGGAATGCACAGCATGGCAGTGCAGATAATCCTCGCTTAACGACTTACCTGTTTTGCGACCACTCACACTTACGACCGTCCTCCGAGCGACCTCCCACCTCGCGCGTCAGCATCAGTGCGACGTGTCGCCGGCGGAAGTGACGTCCTCCGATCTTCACTGCGGGTCCCGGTAAGTATTTTCATTGCCCGATGTACAGTACACTGTTCGGTACTGTACATCTGCAATGCTATACAGTTCTGTACTAATGCAGTACAGTACTGTATAGAGTTCCTCACTTAACGACCAATTCGTTTAACGACCTTGTCGTAGGAACGGAACTCGGTCGTTAAGTGAGGAATACCTGTACTGCATGTTTCAGTGCAAGCAATCAAACTGTGGACGGGAGGTGTGTCTGGCATGCCATTCAAATGAATGGCAACGCAATGCACCTCCGACACCGGAAAGAACAGTGGGTGTGATTCAGTGCTAGTTTGTGATTAAAACATTGACAGACACACACAACCACAGACACACTCTCACAGACATTCACACTCCCCAAAAAATGTTTGGAGTTCAGTGTGGGCTGCTGTGCTGTGACAGAGCTCCATTCATAGCTGCATTGCTTGCACAGCTTCCTTGCACTCCTTGTAGAGGTGCCAGGAGCCAGAATGTGACGTCACTTCGGCCACCTCAAGCTGAAACTTGCCTCCAGGCAGCATATTTTGAACTGACAGTGCTGCACTGTGGGAGAGGCTGAGGAGCCTTCCACCTACTGCACTGGAAGGCGTCCAGGGACCCACTGAACATGGGGTCGCGACCCACTTTTGGGTTAAGACCCACCAGTTGAGAACCATGGATCTAGACCAATATAAGGAAAACTTATCCTCCCCTATCCCTCTATATTGATAAGTAGTACGTTCAAACATTACCGTCTGATCTAACTCGGTCATCCATTCTGGTAGTGATGGTGGGGAGGAAGATATCCATTTCCTCGCCACCAGTCGCTTAGCAGTAAATAATGCTCTATATATAGCCAATTTGGTATATGAACTCATCGCCCAGGCATCAAAAACTGCTGGTATGCATACTCTAGGTGTATTATTGTCATCCACATTACACCATTGAGGTGAACTGGAATCTGCTGAGCTGCATCTGCCATGCATTTCAAACGCGTGTCAAATACAGAAAAACAAGTCCCTAAGATTCATTTTGATGATTTGCTAAACATGTTACTTAAGAATCAAAACCCTTTATTGAATAAAGTGGACTGTGACTAGGGATGAGCTCATGTTTGGTCTAAACCTGAGCTGATCAGAATCGGGAAGTTAGGCATCAGTGTGCACCCAGCCGGCGCATAACAAAGATACTGCTGACATCATTAACCTTATATGGCCATATTTGGTCAATGACATTGAGAAAGTGGGAGCAAGCATTTGTAAAAACAAAAACTGGGTACTTGCTCTCCCCGAAAACAAATTCCAAATGCGTAATGGGGAGGAGAGAGGGTTAGGATGACGTGATGTCTTGTGAGCAAGGGTTCTCTTTATACCTTTTTTTAAAAGCTCTTTGTTACATATGAGTAAGTGCAAACAATACACCTGTTGATCATTGCAGAAATTCACATTGTGTCCTGTGCTATCTCAAGGAGCCTAATTAGCTTTCCCAGTTATCATGGACTCAAAAGTAATGTCTGTTGAGTATAAGATAGGGGGAGGGTTTCAGTAGTTTAGCAAATGAAAACTGATCAGGGCTGACACCACTCGGTCCACAATAGTGCTGTCTTAGCCCACCACAGGATTTAAGAGCTTTGTGCATTTCTGGCAGATCAACAGATATTTTTCTGTACTTGCCCTTCTGTACACTTGATATAGCTAACAGAACAAGAAAACAGCATTTTTAGAAGGTCAGCGGTAGTGTCCTTGGTATCTCAGCACAGGTTTTCTTCAAGTGGTTAATCCAGAAGTATCCTAAAGTAACTGACTTGTGTAATTATCCCTAAATGGTAATGTTGTATCTCCTCGTGTCACAAGTGCATTTTCCAAATTAAATGAATGCTGCTCACATTCCATAATATGTAAAGGTCCTGACAAGGCAAGAGCAATGATCCACTGTAGAATTAATTTGTAGATGTGTGAGTACATGGCTCCATCCAAACCTTGTGTTTATGTAGGATCAGCAGCTGTGCTATGTCAATGCTGTTTTTCTTGTTTGACTGACCACATGTTTTTCTCCTTCTAGTGGTTCAGAGGGAATTTTCCTGGACAAACAAATATTCCATGCTGTATATAGATAATCCTGTAAGTCTTGTCTTAGGAAAATAAATAACTTGTCTTAATTGAAGCTGAACTCCAAGCAGATAAAATGCATGCATGTGCTCAATGAAAAGTAAAAATTTATTTTTAAAAGCAACTAGTGAACTTAAGGTGGTATCAGCATCTTGCAATTCCCTGTACAGCAGAGCTCAGACTGAGAAAAGAAGCAGCCCAAGGAGCCAATCATTTATTTTTCAGTACTTATATGCTAGCAATGTACATGCTGATAAGAGGAGAGAGCAGAGTAACCGAGACAAGCTCATCAGTCTGCTGCTTCTTCCTGAGGATTGGGCTTGGACTTAGTTGTATTAACTGCAGTAGAGAAATATCAGTTCTCCAGAGTGACTCCTGTCTGGTGTTTTGGTATGTGTAAATCTCGGGAAGGAATGGAAATAAAATTCCTTTGGCAGGTGAAACAACTCTCCTATATGTATTTTATTTATCGAGCTGTTTGCCTGGCGTTCAACTTTAAAGTTCACCGCAATAAAAAAAAAACGGTATTAGGAATGCACTGAAATGAAAATGTTAGACCAAAATAAAAGATTGTCCGGCTGAAAACGTAAATTACCCTTTTTTAATTTTTTTAAATAAGTCGGCCCCCCCAACATATTTGAAAGATTTCCAATTATTTTAAATTTAATTTTTTATTTTTTTTACTTTACTGTTGGGGTCTCTGTGGAAATATTGGGGGTCTAAACAGAGCCCTGATATTTTCTTTTTAAAATGTCTCCTCTTCCGCATCCCCTGTTATGAATGAATCTTCTATACTAAGTGCTTCTGTTCATTCATAAACTGAGGAGATAGTATCAGTTACTATGTCCACAATCGTGAATGAACAGGAAGTGATGTAGAGCTCTTCTTATTCATAACTGGGGGCGCAATATGCATACTATGTCAATTATTTACAAACACTCAGCGATCACTTCTGATTGCTGAGTGCTTGTACCCGCTCTCCGTCCTGACTCCTCCGCCTGTAACAGTAGGCTGTGCGGGAGGAGAGCTCGGCCTCCTGTGACCGCTGACTCCTCCCCGCATCGCCCCACTCAGCATCCTGACAGTTTCACTCCTCCCTGCTGGGCTCCAGTCTCGGATTCCCGTGTTGGTACTTTCGGCATTTTGCCCATAGTGCCATTTTCGGCCGAAATGTTTTGGTGCATCCCTAACGGTTTAATTTTTAGTGGCCATCAATGAGTTGATTTAATAATAATAAACAGTTCTCTATAATGTAAAAAATGTAAATAGTAAGGCAGCCTTTTTGGAAAAAGGGAAGACTGTAGTTGTAGGCGCTAAAGCACCACACCAATTCTAATAGTCCCAATACATTTTAGTTTGATTAAGGTCAGGGGGACATTCAAGTAAAGTAACAACTCATTTTAAAACACTCCCCCTTCAGGGCCCAGACGAAACGCCTGTATCAAAATATAATCATACTAAACTGACTTGCTCAAGGTCTCAACATAGGTGGAAGTTATGGGAATAGTATACATAAGATACATATGATAAGTGGTTGCAGGAAGAGACAAGTAAGAAAGATACAAATGCTACATGTTAACTCCTTACTTTATACTTCAAACTCAACTGCATTTTTTGGGTAGCATTGTTTAATCCAACTTTTAAAAGTGTACCTGTACTAGAACAAAGCTCACCAAACCTCCCTGCGCTCTCTTTGGTGCCCAGACAAACCATCTGATCACTGACAATACCCCACAAAGACCTGTTCAAAAAAACAGTTTAACCTCTCGTGCCCGGAGCACTGCCTTGTGGAAGGCATGTCCCATACCCAGAGTTTCAGGCACCAGAGGTGGTATAGGTGCCTACTGTACAATGTACAGGTGCGTTTTAAATTCCATTCCTGCTACCCTTTATTGTAAAACGGACAATTAATGGAGAATGATTGCACACAATATTAACTTTTCTATATTATTGTGCTCCAAGCTCATTGTGTATGGGGTGAAAATTGCAGTACAGGAGATTTGTGGTGTTGGGAAACATTTGGTTGGCTGGATGATTGGATGATGGAGTCAACAGATCTTCATCTTATTCACTAAGCTAAGGGAAAATGCCCTTGCAATGTGAACATTCCATTGCAAGGTGAACAGCCTATTTGCCTTTGGTAAATGAACCCCAGTGTATCTATATATTTATGTGCATATCTCAATCTTGGTGATTCCAGTTACAGTCCTATTAGCAGGGTTTTAGAATAATTAAATTAAAGAAATGTTAAGTATATGTTGTGCATATAGTAATGGCCTTGTATTTTGTTAGGTTGGAACAGGCTTCAGCTTCACAGCAGAGGGAGGATATGCAGTGAATCAAGATGATGTGGGAAGAGATCTGTACAGGTATACTTTCGTCATATACTCTAAATCGGGTGGGCTGGCTGTCCTCCAGTTGTGGTGAAACTACAAATCCCATAATGCATGTGTCTTTGGGACTCATGTCTGTGGTTGTGAGAATCTTGCAATGCCTCATGGGATTTGTAGTTCCACAACATCTGGCGGCCCAGAGTTTACCCACCCTTGCCCTAGATTCAGTAAATGTGTTTTGACTGCCATGTGTTTATCAGAAACACACAATTTTCTGACCTTCCTCCAATCTATTTCTGTGTTTTAATATGTAATTCTCCCCATCAAATTTTCAAAATGTTTATCTTGCAATTCCAGGTTTCTGAAAAATATACTAAAATGTCTGTAAAGGTTCTCATTATCCATGCCATGGTATAGCCGGTAGTACCAGTAGTCACAATTGATGGGACTTTAATGTTGAAGACATTTCACCACTTGGCAATGTAGTTGAATGATGAAGTGAAGAAGCCACTTGGAAGAATACTAAAATATCTTCAGCAATATAGAACGCCATTGGAATGAAACCAATTACCATTTTGAAATTAAAGAAGGAAAAGGACAAGGTCATCTGATAATATTTAGAGAATGTTTGTGTCCCAGTGATACTGTAAACATGGCTTAAAGTAGAACATTGCATGAACTTGGTCATTCTACCAGTTTGTGCTTTAGCTGCACAATTCCTGTCCTGGGCTATAAAGGGTAACACTGTGCTGCTGCATTTGCAGCCCCATTGTCCGCTCTTGAGGCATTGTCAGACAGAGCGATATTGCTACGTGGATGGGTTCCTGTAGGGTGCAGTCTCACATCTTAGAGCAGTGATTTAGGACCATAAGCAGACCTTGCCCACCACCTAGAGGAAAAAGTTGCAACCAGGTATCGGCGGTCACCTGACTGCAACTGAACATGAAATCTAATTTTTGGAGGCTTTTATTTTGTTTTGCAGTACAGGGATATCTTTGCTGCACACTAGGATAGTGTCATATGTATATGCATATCTTCTATAACGCAAACCTGTACTTTGCCCATGCAGGGCAAAACATCAAGTTCAATTTAGTGCCCCCCTCGCCAGCAGCAGCACATGCTCGCCTTTACTGCCCTGCTTGCAGTTTAGCCTTCAGGAGAGAAGGAAATTATCTGGATTTCTCTACCTTCTGGAGGAACATACAACTCCCTCCTCTTTAATGTGACAGCACTAGCGCTTTGACTGGTTCAGCTGTATCACGTGGGGTAAGGAAAAGAGCTCTCAGCCCTGTGTTGGCTCCAACAAGAGCAGCTCAGAGCCTAAATAGGGCTTATTTTTCTCTCTCTAGTGGCTGAACAGAGTAGTGGACATTGGAAAGTTAAGTATGTGAGCAGCTTACCTGAGTGAAAACTCTGCTTTGAATTCAGGAGCAGTGCAGCATCGTTGCCACACCGTCACGGGAAGCTGCATTATGCGGACTTTACTCAACAGGTGTTTGTGGGACTTTGCAGGGGGACCAAGAGAAAACAGATGTAGTTATAATTTGGGTGCTATAGCACAAGTTTCTAAATAAGAGGCCAAAGAAACATTCAGTCATGCTTTATTTTTGTGTATGTGTAATAGCTGCTTTCTTTTTTTTTTTCTCTTTTAGTGCACTCACACAATTTTTTCAAATCTTCCCGGAATATCAGCAAAATGACTTTTATTGCACAGGAGAGGTAAGGGACACCTGGATTTTCTATGGCCAGTTTTTATTTGTCTTGTGTTTTTATAACCTGTTGTTTTATATCCCTTTTCATTGCTTTTATAAAATAAACACATACCTTTTTTACATGGTGATTCTGTGACCCAATTTGCAGAGTTTACTATTCTTTCTATTAAGGGCTTGTTCACACCAAGCGCGGAGCAGATCCAGAGCAGAGCAGGTGCAGACCGGATCAAAACTGCGTCCAATGTATTCCTATGGTATTTTGAGCTCCAGTTCACATCGCAGCGTGCAGATCCAGAGCAGGTAAAAAAACTGCGGCAAGCCCTATTTTACCTGCTCTGGAACGCATCAAAAACGCATGCAAAACGCATGCAAGTGCCTGAAAGCCCATGTTAAACGTAAAAAAAAAGGCCCAGAACGCATCAAAAATGCGGCAAAACGCGGCACGACCCACTGCACTGCGTGTGCAGAAGCCTGACCGGATCTGCTCTGCATTTGGTGTGAACAAGGCCTAAACCTTAGTAATTCATGCTATGTTTTTTGACTGAAAATCCATACAGATCATATGATCTTGTGGTTGTGTGTGTAACTTATTTTCTCGTGCCAAATTGTAAATATGAAATGGTCATATGCAGTATTTCCTATTTACCTGGTTAAAAGTAATGATTGTACTGTGCATAATATAAAAATAAAATCTATACAAAGCACTGTATATTCAATGTAAACATAAAAGTGTCTTTAGGACAAGATTCATTAGACTAGGTAATGAATCCATGTCAGAGCTGTAACTTTAACTTGCACAATGTTCTTGTGGACCTTTACCCACTTTGACTAAAAATCATATCAGCATACAGCTCTGCATGCTGATATGAAATCATCTAACATTCATTAGTTAAACATTTTTATTTTACTTCAAATTTCTTTTCTACTTCCTGGTCCACTTTGGCACAAATGATGCAATCGTGTCCAAGCATTGCATCCTGGGAAGGTTACATCAGCAGAGCATTGCTGGGAAATCTCATGACATCTCATGGAAAGGAATTTTCCTCTCCTGAGATGAGGTGCATGGTCACATGTCTTAGTCACATGTGCCAGAGTTCCAGGAAGTAAAGGGAGATCTAGTATCCTGCCCTTAGTTTAAATGGCCGCTGTCAGAAGAATGGGGAGGAAAAAAACAAGGTATGCAAAGAATAGTGGCAATTAGAAAATCCCAGTCAACTCTATCGAACGCTTTTTCAGCGTCCGTTGATGGTATCATTGTCGACAGAGTTGATGTAGTGGCATAATTGATGTAAGTGCTCGTTGCGTGTTATCTCTAGCCTCTCTGCCCGGCAGGAACCCAGTCTGATCATTTGCAATAAGCTGAGATAGTATAGGCGCCAAACGATTAGCCAATATTTTGGCGTATAGCTTAATATCCGTGTTTAACAGAGAGATGGGCCTGTAGCTGTTACATACGGCCGGGTCCCTGCCGGGAATTACTAAACATTTCTAAAGGTGTCTTTGTTGTTTTGAAGATAAGGGTAAAGTTCCTCTTTAACATCTACATGCATAGAGCCACCTAACATACTATATATGAAAACATAAGAAAATACCATGTGTCCCTACATTAGGTACCATAGTGTTCCCATAGGCTGCTATATCTTGATCCCTTACGGATTGTTCACACCAAGTGCGGAGCAGATGCAGAGCAGTTACAGAACGCATCAAAAATGCATCCAATGTATTCCAATGGTATTTTGGTCTCTAGTTCACACCACAACGTTCAGTTCCAAAGCATGTTGAAAAACTGCAGCATGCCCTATTTTTTCTGCTCTAGAACGCACCCAAATGCATAAACGCAGGCAAACGCCCTGGAACGCACCAAAAGCCCATTAAAAAAAAAAACACGGACCGGAACGCGGCAAAACACACTGCACGTGCAGAAACTCATGCAGATCTGCTACAGATTTGGCATGAACAAGCGCTTAGTGTGACTATATACAGGATGTGTGCAGATTGCTCACCAAGTATTATAAGCTGTGAGAAATGTGCCCCTTCTCACTTACAGTATGTGTGAAGAGCACTACCAGGACTTCCTGCCATCATCTCACTGACTTTGTTAAACAGATGCCGCATGTATTGTACATGGATTCAATGTTTTTTTTTTTATAAAGAATGATTGGTAAATGGATGTACTAGTTATTTTTTGACTGTTCAACTCTACATTGACCATTGTAAACCGTGCTCCATGTGGTTCTGTGGTCATCTTTAAAAATGAACCTATGCTTTGCCAATGCAGGGCAAAATAGTACGTTCACTTACCTGTCCACTTCCCCAGCTGCACATTCACCCTTGTGTTCCACACCTTGAGTTGAAAGAGAAAGCTCTGTATAAATACCAAGTCAAGACTTGGAGCTTACGTGGGACTGAGGACTCTCCCTATTCCCATGTGGCATTTCCATGAGTGGTCGGTCATTAAACACTAGCACCATCACATGGGAGAAAGCATAAAGAAAAGGCGCATGCTTCCTATATCCAGAAGTGTCAGCGATGTCTCTTTCCTCCCAGTGACCAGCACAATGGGGAAGCATAAGAAATGAGTACAGTATGCACTCTGCTTGGAACCCCTCTTTAAATAGTGTTGCCGCCAAGTCTACCACTGCTTACCTAATTGTTTTTTCATTACAAACACAATTAAGCTGCTTTTCAATGGCTTCCTGGGTATAGCTTGCATCACACCAAAGTGGGTTGTACGATTCTGATTGGTTGTAGCTTGGAAGCACTTTTCAAACTGCTGACCTGTGGGAATTCTCTGCTTGTCAGATGCTAGAAGGCATATGGACACGTTTCCACATCACGCTCTGAAAGGAGAGAACTTCTTTAGATAATTAAACATACTGTTGCAACTACACTCAGTTATGACTCCAGTATCGTGTATTTGTGCTGTTTGTCGTCGTCTTGGATTTTTACCATTAATGTTAATGTGCTTTGCCTAACCTGAACAAAACAGGTTCACTTAAAAAGTATGTGAACCCGAATATGAACTTTTTATTTGATCACTGTTGGCCTGTTAAACAAAATGTCAACGCCTGATTGTTGTCACCCTAGGACAGGAGGTGTACTATAGGCAGGATCACCAGGTGAATATGAGAGGGGGGAAAAAACACCTGAAATAGGAAAAC